AATTGCTGTAATATTAAGTTCCCTAAGTTTGGGCAAAATTCCTAGGATCTGGAATGTGCCCTGCAGCTGTGTGGCCCCTGTGTTAGATAATTTCATGATGATTTTAAATTGGGAGTGAGGATCAGGTTTCCTGGGGTTTCCGTTCACATCTTTCTCTTCCTGGATATCACCCATGAAGTGCTTGGACAAGAGATTTTATTTCTCTTAATACTGTAATCTCTCCCATTGCTTACTGCTGCCTGGCCTGCATCAAGTTCTTATCAACTTCATTATTTTGCTTAACTTGTGGTTTCTGAAATATTTGACATGTAGAAACATTTTTTTGAACTTGCATTAGTTTCTTTTCCCCCAAGAAATTTAATGTAAGACTGGTGGTCATAAACTACATTTTGCAAAATAATTCCCCACTTAAGTGTTGCCCTCCTTTGTTTTTTAAGAATTAAAGACTTAAATTCAACCCATTTCTTAAGAAGCATTGTGAGGGCTTTATCCCCCTCCCCCAATTGCCAAGGCTTTGGGGGGGGATTATCCTCTTTTTAAAGTGACTCAATATATAATAAAAGGTAAACCGAGCCCTTCTCATGGCTTTGCCCTTTCACGCCACTTTGTCAAGTCTACTTGGTGAAATCATTGCTAGCTCCTACTGAGACCCTCTGTAAAAACTATTTCCATGGTTACAAACAATTCATAGGCCACTATTTCAGCAGGATTAGCCTTGAATTTTCAGTAACTCTGAGAACTGTGTGGATGCTAACACATCTGTTTTACCAGTCAGCTTTCCCTCCCCCCGTAAGAAAATCTCAGAAACCACTTGACCAGGCTCAGGTTATCTGAGAATTTTCATATTTTATGGTCACTGTTGCAGTTTTATGAGTATATATTAATTTTTTTTCAAAAAACTTTTCCAAATGGTCTCAGTTTCCCATCCAAGGGAAGTCAGCATATGTACACACATCTCCTGTTCAACAAGATACAGACAGCACAAGACTTCAGGTAACGCAAAAAAAAGATAAAAAATAAAACCGCTTTGAAAAACAAACACCAGCATCCCCTAAATCTATATGTTGAACTTTCAGTATATTGATCCCCAATAGGGCATGCCCTCAGCTTCTAATTGAAGCCTTTTTCATAATTGTTGTCATTTGACACATTTTAGTCTGTCAAATCGTGAGATGTCTTTATGGCCATATAATAAACCCAAGAGAACAACTTCTCTGACTGGGGCCATCTGCAATGCTCGCAAGACTAGCTTACAAAACACTGACAGTCTTTATGGTAATAGGATACATATGGCAGCCCACAATTATGTGTGGCTGTATTCAATTAGTGTTGTGCAATCACACAGTTTTATGGCTTAGTTAAAACAGTGAGAGCACTACATGCTGGGTAATTTGCACTAATCCCCGTCTTTTTAATAGCCCCTCGGAGTTTAAAATGTTGGGGAACAGCTATGGCATTTAAGGGGCTTGGGATGAACGTTAAATTATACCTCATGTTGCGAACTCCTTGACTGACAATTAATGTGCTCCCACTAAACGTGTGGGTCATGTTTTATAGAGGCTTTAACATACAGTAGTGGCAAAATGCTCTCCCTCGACCAGAACCCAGCTCAGGGAGTTAGGGTGTCAGGGTCTGTATTTGCAGCCTGAAAAATGGCCCAGATCTGAAGAACTGCCCAAAAAAACCTCAGAATCCATTCTGAGATGTGCTGTTTCTTTAATAAGTTTGTATTTTATTTTGTAAAGCCCATGAGCAACGTTAAAATTTTATTTTTAAGTTTGTGTGTTCAGAAGAGCCATGGGGGCCAGAAGAGAGTGTCAGATCCCTGGGAGCTAGAGTTACACGTTGTGAGACACAGATATGTGTGCTAGGAACTGAACTTGGGTCCTCCAGAAAAAACAGAAAGTGCTTTTAATGACTGAGTCATTTTCTCCAACCCTGGGACTTAGCATTTTAAATGAGAATTTGTGAGCAATCTTCGTGCTTTCTAACTTTTAATTAAAATCTTGGTTCCATGTGAATTTAGAACTGTCCTGGAAATATTGTGTAAAGATAGTTTGGGGGAATGTATGTCGTACAAACAAACAAACAAACAAAACGGAAATTTTTAATTACATATGCAAGTGGATTCACTGGCTCACAGGCCTGTCCACAATATCTGCAATGAGAGAAAAGGAATGCCTATGGTTAACACCAGCACCCCTGATGAGCCCCATTTGTGAGAGGGCTCTGTATACCATGTAAGAAAGGGGCACTCCCATTGGAAGAGAACCCTGGTGTATCCCTTTCCTTCAACCACAGTGTTGACAGAGAAAAGCCCTGGAGTATCCTTGTTTCCTGCCCCACCTGACAATAAGTTAAACAGAATTCCAAACCAGAGGCCTGGCCATATATTCACTCACCTGCAAAAAACATTTTGTTGAAACATTTGCAGAGGATTCGTGTCTTGAAAAGTTTTCAATTACATGGACGTGGTCTTTGTCTATAAGCTTTTTTTGTATATAAGTGCATTAATATAACTTGAGTCTCCTTATACTCATGAAAATTCTATTACACAATTTTCAAAGATTGAAAAAAGTCGGAGAGGGTGTTACATGAGTGTGTGACTAAAGCAGTAAAGAAGGAATACACAACTATAGCTTCAGTATATTTAAATGCTATTTGGGGAAGTATTAAAATTTTAAAGGATGCCTCAATTATTTTATGTAGCATTTTGAATTTTCTTTTTCCTTTGCCTGTTGGCCTTTTGCCATGCTGGGGTTGAACCCTGGTCCTTATATTTTTCTTACCTTGGATGATATTGTTCATCCATATTAAATATAATTTATATGCAGTTAGACAGAATTCCTATTAAAATGGCAATCATTAGTAACTCCCTTCCCATGAGGAAGGTACAGGGTCATATTCAGAACCACAACAGGCCTCTGGTGACTGGGTCCTTTAACATCTGGTTTTGTCAAACTTTTGAATAACGTTAGGTGATATAGATACTGTGTTTAGGGGTGGGAAGCTTCCTGTATAAATGGGGTTGAATATATCAAAATCTGCTCAGCCTCACAAAGTACACATCATGAATGCCCAGACCCCACAGAACATCAAAGCAAGAGAGCATTTTGCAATTTAGAAAAGTTATTGATACCAAACTGGAATTCAGGAGGTAAACAGCTCTGGTCTATATGGGAAATGAACTAGACAGCCGACCTCAGCATTCCCATCTCGGATTTCCTTTCATGAAAAGCATTTGCTTATTGTTTGCATGACCAGAACAGCGGGCACAATAAAGTTTAAGCTGACTGGAGAACATTTAGGCTGAAGACACTACGGTATTTTACAGCGCTGGTGCCTCAAAGTGCTAACTCAAACTTGCACAGTTGCTTCACTAAGTAGAGAAGACAGTGTCCACCCCAGAGGACGACTGGACACATGGCTGCTTTTGGCCTAACAGCACAAATGCAAGTCTAAGACTGGATGCCTACCCAAGGGCAACCCAAACTTGATCAGGATCCAGAACCCTAGAGACAAAGAGTGTACGTTATGAGCACACACAGATGTAGACAAATAATTTCCATGCAGAAGAAAAAAAAAAACCAGTCTCTCCAGAGAAGTAGATCTAACTCTGTCAAAAACAGTCCACTCCAATTGGTCATTTCTGATGCTACAGATGAGCTGGTCAAACATCTGCCCACATGTTTCAGTGGAATGCAAAAGCAGAAAGATGTCGAATGCACACAGTAGCAGTAGCAGTGCTCCTGCTATTTGGAGATGTGTCTTGCTGTGCAAGAGGCCCATTCGGCTTCAGCAAGTAACAGATGATCACAGACTGATCACAGGGACATGCAAGCCTTAACTTGCTGGGTAAATTATTTTGATGAATGTGGAAAACTTGACCATTTTTTGGAAGGACCTCTTGAAATCTGGATGCAGGGTTCTAGTGTGACTCTCTTCATCTTACAGGTTTCAGGAGAGAGCACCTATAGAATTCTGCTTGCCCTTTATCCTTTGAAATCAATGCAATTGTTTGAGCTACTTTTAAAAGCAGAGGCTTTTGGGTTGATCTCTGGCTAATATTAATGGAGCTCACAGATTTGCCTAAGAGTCACGAGAATGCTTGTTGTTCTGTTAGAAGACTGCAGACTCACGGCCTTAATGAGGAAAACTGACCGAGTGCTAACTCTACACCCAATAAAACTTTCCAAATTGCCACAGGTGACATGAAATATTAACATGCTTTTCAATTATTAATAGAAATATAAATAGATCTTGTTAGAAATGTGGGGCACTAAAAATAAAGGATTTTAATATCCGTGTAGATGTTTGGTTCTATTACTGAAGGGTGGCATGCTTAGTCTCACATGTGGAAATGAAGTGACTATTTTTATGACTGGTAGATTCGAAGCTAGAGACTTTCTCAGATGCCTTTTGTGGAAACATCAAATGCAGATATGCAAAGGGAGAAATGCCAGCACTGTTATTTCAGAGGTTGGTCTTCTTGTGTATTTTTAATGCACATGTTATACAAACCACCCTGAAGCCCTTCACTTCCCAAGAACAATTCAATAAATAGGACCCCACACCCCCATTTCCATTTGTTTTACACTTATTTAGTGTGTGTGTATGTGTATGTATGTGCATGCGTGTGTATAAGAGTGTGTGTGTCTGTCTGTCTGTCTGTCTGTCTGTCTGTCATATATAAGTTCTTGGATGAAGCTTATGTCATCAGGCTTGGTGGCAAGCACCTTTGCTCACCGAGTCCTCTCCCAGTCCCGACATCACTGTTTTTGTGAGCATCTACATCCTATTGTATGAACACCCCCATTATCTGCCTGACACATTTCTACTTGCCATTCCTTCATTGCTCCTAATACTGCAATGAAACCAAGATGTGCCCCTGGATTCTGTCCTTGCAGAATTGCCCGGGCTTTTGTTACTTCATTTACACTAAACCTAAACTGTAGCGCTCTTGGCTTTATGACACTTAGGCCTTTTAACTTTTCTTTTAGGTGTATGAGCACCAGGATGGCAGCAAGTCACTCAAGTTGGGTGACTTTGGTCTGGCCACAATTGTCGACGGCCCCCTCTACACAGTCTGTGGCACCCCAACATATGTGGCCCCAGAAATCATCGCAGAGACTGGGTGAGTGCCCCCCTGTACTTTAGAGCTTGCAAAAGAATACAAGTCATTAAAGAACTATCCCACTTGGACAGAGTCAGCTACCATCTCTCCCCTCTTCCCCTCCCTTTCTCTTGCCTGTTCAGCAAATTTCCTCTGTCTTCCAGTGCCAATGACTATCAGTTTGTTTAAAGCTTGCATTTGGTCTCTGCTAAAGGTAAAACAGCTATTAACCATAAAATTACTAATAAATGTCCAGATAAGAGGACAAACATACAGCAATAGTAATTAAATCACTTTTAAATATAAAAGAACTGGACACTGTTGTATCCTGTAATAAAGTCGCCTTGGTCGTTTTTCTCAGCTAGCTCTATGTCCTGACCCTATTTTAATCATCTTAGACAGCTATTATTCCTCTAAGGAAAGCAAATGTCCTGAGCCTCTGAGGACCAGCCACTGGATATTTGCTGATGTATGTGCAGAAAGAAATGAATGTCAGTCTCTGCCTTGGACTGAAAGGGGAGTAAGCTGTCATGTAGGTGCTGGGAACAGAACCTGGAAACCTCTGCAAAGCAGCCAGAGCTTTCAGCACTATTTTTCAGCACTATTTTGCTTTGTTTCCCTTTTTGCAGATAAATTTTTTATGTGATGTCGTTTTTACTTAACTTTTAAAAGTTAAAATATATTATGCTCCCCCTTCCCCTGCTTCCCTTCTGATCCTCTCATACCCCATCACCTCTGTAACTCATGGCCTCTGTGTTGTTGTTATTATTACACACACACACACACACACACACACACACAGAGAGAGAGAGAGAGAGAGAGAGAGAGAGAGAGAGAGAGAGAGAGAGAGAGAGATACACATACATATATACACATATAACATTCATACACAAGCCCTGATGGATCAGTTTATTGTTGCCTGTATGTATTTCAGGGATGCCCATTTGGTATTAGATAACCAAAGGATACTCATCCCTTTGGAAGACTAATTCTCTTCTCAGATTTTAGTATTTCTCAGTTCCCTATGGATCTTTGTCTAGAGCTGGAGCCACATAAGATTTGTCTCTTCTCCATTAACACGTTTATTCCCCATTATCCAGGTCTTGTTTAGGCAGCCTATTGTTGAGGGATCATGTGTGAAGCCTCCTGATCAAAATCTAGGAGATCCACGTAGCTGATGTCCTGGACCTCTGGCTCTTACACTCTCTCTTCCCCTTTTCTCGTGATGTTACCTGAGCGCTGGATGCATGATTTGTTTAAGAATCCATTAGGTCTGGTCTCCCCACGATATGTTCACTTTGGTTGGTTGTGGTTTTCTGCAATGGTCTCTGTTTCCGTAGCAAGGAGAAGTGTCTTTGATGAGAGGTAGACATAAGGACAAAGAATTAGAATGCAGTTAAGAATTGTTCTGATTTAGTAAAGTGGCAGTCATGAGTTCTTTCCAAGATACATGGCTTCACTAGCCCTGGGGAGCTGGCATGATTTCCATCCTGTTGATTAGGCCTTAAATCCAATTAATGAGCTGTTGGTTACCACTGAGATAGGAGTGCCACTACTTCAGCCTTAGGCTCTCTGGATAAGCTGACCATTGCTATGGTTCATGGGCATCACAGCCAGGTAGGGCTGTTGGTTGCTTCCCTCCACTGGCACCTTGCACAACACATTCTACTACTACGAAAGCACTGTTTGTTCAGGAGAATGAGTCTTATTTTAGTTGTCAGATTTTTTAAAAGTTGGTTTGGTCTCTTTGGACTTTCGGTAGAAGAGTCATGCATTTTAGCTGCATAATTTGTCCTGGCTGACTTTGCTAACTCCAACATCACTTTTTTTTTCCAGATATGGCCTCAAGGTGGACATCTGGGCAGCTGGCGTGATCACTTATATCCTGCTGTGTGGTTTCCCTCCATTCCGTGGGTACGGGCAGTAATCTTTTATTTGGCACCAACAAGTCATGTCTCTGTTCTCTCAGTGATATATCTGCCCTTCTTACACAACAGAGCCTGAAGTAGCAGGAAACACACTTGTGATTTTCATTCTTTTTTCCATGATGTGTGCTAATTTACATGCTTTCCAAAAATCTTCCTCACATGGTCTTTAACCTCATTCTTTGTTAATTTACCAAAACAGTTTCATACTCTCATTTTTAGTGGATTTAAAAAAAATAAATTATGCACTTTAAGGGTATAAGAGGGCCTCTAGGACATAAGCATGGAGGGGGGTGTGATGAGTGGGCATTCAGCTATGCTTCTCTTGTTGTTTGTCTGCACAGAAGTGGAGATGACCAGGAGGTGCTTTTTGACCAGATCTTGATGGGCCAAGTGGACTTTCCATCTCCATATTGGGATAATGTGTCAGATTCAGCTAAGGTAGGGGTCAATCACTGCCCTGTTCCTTAGAGCCTGGTGCTTTAATGGAAGTGTTGACTCTAAATCAGCATATAGGAAGAGACCAATGTTAAGAGTGTGACATCAGGGCACATGTAGGTAGAATTACTGGTTTCCCAAGATTTCACAAACATCAGGGCTCAGTCATTCCAAAAACTGCTTGTCCTAGAGCCACCACCTTGTTGCTACTCGTTAGCACCTCAGGTTTCTACACAAGACTATTGTTTGCCCTGCATGGGTTTTGATTTAATGTCACCCTCTCAATGCAGCCACTTCTGGCCACTGTTTTCAACTGTAACCCTTAACCTGGCTCACCTGATCCACCTTGCCTCATCCACTTGGCCTTGCCTACAATGTGTGTTCTTAGTCTCAAAAAACCAGAATGCACACCCTCATGTTCCCTCCTTCATATTATATAACTGTCCATCTATATCCACTTACCTAAATAAATAACCATGTATAGATAGAAAATTAAATCTTATCTATGCAAATATGCAATTAATTTCCAAACTCTCCCACTAGAATGAAAATTCCCTGAAGGCTAGAATTTTTGTCCACTTTTACAAATCTTTTTTCCGCATATATGTGTTTGCCTGGAACTGCACTTGTGGGTGCTGGGAACTGAACCTGGGTCCTCTGCAAGAGCAACCAGTGCTCTTAACCACTGAGCCATCTCTCCAGCCACTGACCTTTGCCCATTTAGTTGCCATATCATCAGTTCTGGCATCATGTGATGTACTGTGTACATCAATGCACAGCCAGTGGTCAAATGCAATCCGTAAATCAGCAATGTATAAATTAGTGAATTAGGTGATCAATCTGAGGGAAGAGAGCTCAGTCTCACTCTCTATTGAGACGATCAAAGTGGACGTCATGGAGATGCCATTATTCAAGTCCAACCTTATAGGAAGCCTAGGATTTAGAGGCAGGAGGGATGGAGCTCATGCTTCTTCATCCTGCTAACCAAGATCAGCATCTGCATCTGCATCTGTATGGATGGTGGGGAGTGCTGCACAGCAGGCGAGCTACAGAATGGCGAGAACCTGGACACGAAAATTGAGCAAAGTGGTAACTTTGTGTATATATATATCACATTTTTAAAAAGTATCTCTGCGTCTAAGCACGAATAATTTTAGCTGGTGTATTAGTAGACCCGGGGGGAGCAGGCATTTTCATCTCTTTCAGATGTCAATAGGTTGAACAGTCCTAATTTGAAAACTTCCAGATCCAAATTCAATAAAATCTGAAATTTGAGTGTCAACACATGTCACCCCAAATAGAAAATTCTGCACCTGTGACAGATTGGAGTCAAATACAGGCATGCTAAAAATACCATGGGCAGGTATTCGCAGGCTATTCACATAAGGTGCATACGAAACAGTTCAATTTTGTGTTTTGATTTGTGTTCCATCCTCAAGATACCGTTATGTGCCTGAAAATACTGAAAAATTGAAACAAAAATCCAAACCCAAAAGGTGTTTTGAGAAACAGAGAGCCTGACTTAAAGTTCTAACTTAAATTCTTGAAAATTCAGGGTTGAAAACTTGATCATTTTCTGGTCATTCGGTGCATATGCTTTTTTTTCCTCTCTTGACTTGGAGTTTCATTTGAAGCTCCCCTCCTTAGACGTGAGCTCTGTGTAGATAAAATGATGCTAACTGGACAAGGGCCTCTCATCATCTTCCACCAAGCCCACTCTTGGACTCAGGACTATATCAATACTGGAGAGAACTATAAAAGGCAGGCCCCACACCAACAGATCTGAGCAAGAAGCAAAGGTGTTCTCATGCATAAATATACTCTCATTATATAGCCCAAGCTGGACTTCTGAATGCAGGGATTCAGATTTGAAGCAACACCCCAACGTAGCCCTTCAGGAATACAGTCAACTCTTCCAGCTAGCATTTTATAGCCTGGGAGCTTAACAAGACCCACTCTAAGTCCTGGATTGAACCCCAAAAAAAGGCCTGTCTCTGTCTCTCTCTGTCTCTCTCTGTCTCTCTCTGTCTCTCTCTCTCTGTCTCTCTCTCTCTCTCTCTCTCTCTCTCTCACACACACACACACACACACACACACATCCACTCATTGTGCAGGTTAGGAAATGACTGAGGAAAGTAAAGGCAGACTCTACACCAACAGGCATCCTGTGTGGGACATAAGGAACTGGATAACATGTACTCCCATTTCTAATCCAACATGGACAGATGAATGACAAAATCATTGCTCCACCCAAAGCTGCATCTCCAGAAAATGTTTTTCTTACTTTACTAACTAGCTTTTGGCAATCCCTCCTCCATTCCTTTTCTTTAATCCTGAATTTGCTGCCTGGAAATTAGGGTGAGGATCCATTTTTCCTTTAGTATGTCAAAGAAGAATTTTAAAGTAGTTTTTGAAATATTTTACTTATTTTTACTATATACATATGTTTTGTCTGCATACAAGCAAAAACATCTAATGTGTACAGTGTCTGTAGAGGTCAGAAGAGGGCATCAGAGCCTCTGGAACTGGAGTTACAGGTGGTTGTGAGCCAGCCTGTGGGTGCTGGGAACTGAATGCTAGGTCCTCTGGATATACAGCTGGACTCTTAACCACTGAGCCGTCTCTCCAGCTCCAAATTTGCTGTTTATTTTTAGTGTAAATTCTAAGCAACTAAGGAATCTGGCTTTAAGATAAAACAGTCTAGTAAAAAGTTGGATCACTTATTATTTAACATGAGTAATTTCTTGGCATCTAAAAGTATCTTGTGAATTTTACTTAAATATTTATCAATATAAATAAATCAAATAATTTTTCTAACCTGCACAAACAAGTAAATATCAACATAAACAAGAAGTATATTTGTGTCCCAAATCTGAAGGTGTGATCTAGATGTGATTTAGGTTGTGAACTTTCCCAAATGCTTTAGCAAACTGAAATCGAAAGCCTGAATTAGCAAAAGATTGGCTAAATGGAGTCTACTGTTTCCCTCACAGGAGCTCATCAACATGATGCTGTTGGTTAACGTGGACCAGAGATTTTCAGCTGTGCAGGTCCTTGAGCATCCCTGGGTTAATGTAAGTGAACTTCTTTCTCTATAGTCACTGCCAGAATTCCTTTAAAACTCTATCTGCAGATTTCCTGATGGTACTGCCTCATTCTTGAAATGCTGTGTTTGGCTTGGCTCCCCTCTCTAAGCGGGTCAGACCAGTTACAAACTCAGCCATGTGCCCCAAGAAGACTTCTGATATGTTCATCTTACTTCTTTCCTAAAGAACTGCCTTCCAACTGGGAGTTAGACATGGTTGTGGTCCTGATCCTCCTGTCTCACAATGACTTTCTGTGGAGAGATTGGGGCTGGGTAACTGTTAACAAGACAGGCAGAAATTCTCAGTCAGTCTCCATACCAGAATACAAGTAACCCAAGGTTCTCTCGTCTGAGAGCTCAGCACAGCACAGCTCAATCTCCAGTCTGCTCACTGTACCTGGTGGCCCCCTGAAAGTAGATTTTCAAAGTGGCAGCTTTGAGGCCCTGTGTTCCCAAGCTCTTGAACAGTGCTTATAGCACCCCTTTTTAAGGGTCTAGTGATACTTTTTTACCAATGGAACCATCCTCAAGAACAGCCATGAATTTTTAATCCTGTATCTGTCTACCAATGATTAGTAAGACCATTCTGGTAAGTAATCATTGTAAGTATTCATAAAGGGCATAAGTTCAAGACTCTGTAGCACTGTTTTAAGTATCCTGTATATATTCAACCATCATGTCTGTCATCACCACTTGGTGACTTTCTAACCCAGTTACCATGTAGTCCCCAGTTATAGATGGGGAAACGCCACAGAAGGGCTGAATGGTTCTTAGCTCCAGCATCAAAAACAGATACAAACTTGTTCATAGAAACAGGCATGACACTAACAGAATCATTAGTTCACAAATAACAGATTCTGTCAATGTCCCTACTGCCAGATGTAGCTCTATGATTTTCCCAATGTAGTCCCACTTGGAGTTGAGGCAGAATTTGTAGCCAAACATCCCACACTTGAAATTCAAAGTCTGGAGAGCCCAGTATACCACACTATGTCTGTCCTCGCCTTGTAATAACTGAAAATACAGGGAATATAGCAGAGGAGTGCCACATTAGCTCTGACCTCACGGTAATGTGACCCCAAGTCAGTTCCCTATTCAGACTAGCTGGTCCAATGTGGCGGTCACACCTTATCTCAGGTGTGTGTGAGAGAAGAGGTACACACCAGCTGCAGGCTGTGCTGGTGTCAGTAATTGATTCAGAATGATCTTTGTGGGTTCACAACTTTAACACCCATGGTCCACAACTTACCAAATTACATGTGAGACCTAGAAAAACTGAGCTAGCTGACCAGAGACTCAAGAGTAAGATTCGAAGCATTGCCTTCTGAGGGAAAGAGGTTTCAGATGACAGGAGTCCTTTACGATACCTAAATATGTTTTCACTGTCTCTCAGACCTGTCCTCCATGAACCTTGTCTAACACAACCAAACAGCTTTATGCAGTGAGCATGGCTGCCCCAGAAGCCTCTATGGGGAAGGCCGGAGAGCACTTGATGGGATAACTCGAGAGTTCAGTCCCTTGATGGGTCAGCTGTGGCAGACTGTGGGTATAGGCCACAAAATAACCTTCCTTGTGAGTGGGTCTGAATCTATGAGGCACTCTAGACACTGCTGGAAACAAGAGTCCTTATATTCCAACTCCAAAGCACACACTAATAATACTCCCCACCCCTCCAGGGTAGACGCACATGGCTTTGTCCTCTGCATGAGGCAGCCGGCACACCTCAGCACAAAGACCTGTCCCCTCAGCTGCCTTGCTTACAGTTTCACACAAGCCTTGTGTCTGACCAGTCCCTTCCTTCCTCAGTTCTGAACCTCTGGACATCTGGGTTTCTGCTTCATTTCAATTTTTCTCTAAGGTTCTCAAAACATGTAAAACTTTTTAAAAGGCAAATCTAGATCTAAAATAAGACACAATAGCCCTCTATGTCATTTAAATAAAATTGACAGTCTCATGGGGAAAATGGATATTGGTTTTAGAGAAATCTTTTTAACGTTTGGTGGAGAGAGAGAGAGAGGAGAGAGAGAGAGAGAGAGAGAGAGAGAGAGAGAGAGAGAGAGAGAGAGAGACAGAGAGAGAGAGAGAGAGAGAGAGAGAGAGAGAGACAGAGAGAGAGAACTTCGCATTGAATTATCTTTATAGAGCAACTAAGTCAGAAACTGCTTGTTTTCTTTGCTTCCAAATAATAAATTTTAACAGTAAGCTTTGGTAACCAGTGCTTAGCCTTGTTAAGGTCAACACACAAAAGACCAAGCCATCAAAATAAATGAATTAGCGATTTAAAGGGATATAAATTTAACAAGACATTTTGGATTTGGCAATCAGATTATATCTGGCCACCATGGAAAGTCTGTCCCTGAGGGGGCTAAAGGTAATAATAGTTATGTAAACCCTTTGGCTGTCTGCAGAAAACATTTCCTGTGCTCTCATTAGTCCCGATTTTCTGTATTGCTTATACGGTGACCTTCCACCTGGCCCACTTGGAATTGAAAAGGCGATTTCTAATGAAACAAAAACTAGAGCAGAAGGGCAGTGTGTGTGTGTGTGTGTGTGTGTGTGTGTGTGTGTGTGTGTGTACACTTCAGCAAAGTCACCTATTTTAGCCTTCATCCTGGAGTGTCCTTTAAGCAAGTCATGTTTATATTTTTTAATACATTCTGGGTACCAGCTTTACCTTGCCCCTCCCTCAGTTTCTTGGGCCTGGAAAGTGCAATGGGTGATGGATGGCTTATCACAGGGGTCCACTGATCCACAGGGACAAAGGCATCCTTGATATGAAATCTCTTGTGATAGAGGAACTAAGGGAGGCTCATCCAGCCTGGTGACTTCAGGCAAATTTGTTTCTCTCCCCAAACCTCTTTCCTGCCAGAGAAAATAGATTGAGGAAAAGTAAAGTCAATCTGTCTACCCTTTGGGAGGATAGGAAGAGAAGCCCATGCATAAAGGTTAGGAACTGACAATCTGCAGTCCAGCCCTTAGGTACTTAGTAGGTTTTACTAGATTTGGTCTAGGCAAAGCAAACAACTGTGTCATCTGTTGTCACACAATAATAGAATGAAAATTATGGATGTGCTGGTATGTGGGTAGCCCCCAAATGATTTTATTTGTATGCCACAAGCTACTTCTCAATGATGTGTGCATTAGCAGCCCCGTGGATGCTGGCTATAATACAGTTGCAAAACGCCAACAGGAACTGTCACAGCCAAGTTCAATCACCTCCTTGGGCCCTCTCTTGTATATAGGACTGAAGCAAGCTTGCAATGTGACTAACAAGAATAGCCAATAATTATATCTTGATCATTTTAGGAATAAGGAACAGTCACTTTCACTGAAATGAGGCTTTATTGACAAGTTGTGCATCTTGGGGGAAAGTTCAGATGACCAGATACTTCCAAGGCAAAAATCTCTTATGTATAATTAGGATCTAATAAGTTGTAGTATATTTAAATTTTGTATTGCTTTCTTTGTCTCATTGTTGTTGTCTAATTTGCTAAGCCAGCTTAGCCTGTGCCATTTTTCAAACACTCTCAGGTGCTATAATTTTCTTAATTCACATTTTTCTTCATTATTTTCTTGAGCTTAGTGAGGAAGAAACAAAGGCAGAGAGACGTCAAAGCATGAAGCTCTGTGAAGCCTCATTCAGGGTCTGATGACTGGCTGTACCCTTAGACACCCATTGCTTTGTCACGATCACTATGGAGGCTTTTCAAAGCTCCCCGTGATGGCCCAGACCAGCTTCCAGTCTCGACTCTAATGAAAGGACTGGTTTAAATAAGATAAGCTGGTGCTAGCACCAAATGGAGACTTCTTATTTCTTCCTTAGCCCTTACATTTAGTATTGCTTCCTTTATCTTGCCTAATTATTCCTTTGGACAGATAGTGCTGAGACAAAGTGCTCTAAAAAGAAAAAAGAACAAGAGAAAGACGAAAAAAGAAGTCTAGATGATATCTTAGGATAGTCCATGAAGACTAATAGAATTCAACCATAGCCACACAAGAACATAGATGCACTCCCCCTATTGTGCTGGTAGAATGGGTGATAAGAAGTAAGCTGAAGTGACATTGTAATTAAATGGAAAATTACTTATCTATATTCATAAATTACAAATGATGACACGAAAAGTCACTTCCATTTGGGCGTTTTCTTCTCTCACGCCAAGTGCAGTGTGAATCTCAGACTCAGAGGATTCTGAATGCTGGAAGTCCTGGGGTCATGTGGGGCTGGGAACTTTAACAAGAACAGTGGGCAATGCACCGGGAGGTAAAATACAGTGGTTATTAAAGAGCACGCTAATGAATCTGGAATTGTTTTACATTAAATCAGAATATCCTCATAGTAAACTATGCAAGGCTTCACTGCTTCTCATAAATCTACAGATATTTTTAATAATAGAGTCTGGCAATAAATGGACTAGAAACCAGATCCCTGATTCAAACCCAAAAGCCATGGGGAAGGCAGCTTTCTAATGTATGAACCTGACATGCTTCCCCAAGGAAAGAGTGACTTCACATCCGAGCCCCCACCCCCTCCCCACAGCTCTTCCTCGGCAACCCTGAGAAAATGCAGACCAGGAGGTTAGCTCTCCTGCAGACAGCTGGGAGAGTTCATTTTCCATTTTGCAAACTAATTTTGTTCTTGTCAGTTGCAATGTTCTGCCAAGTGGTGGATGGGAGTTTCTAAATCAAAAACCACTAGCCTTAAACCACAACCAGCCTGACTCAAACTTCAGAAATGATTCCCAAACCTGAGCGTATGGTAATAATACTACAGCTATTTGTAAAATACTGCCAGGTTTGTCACATCTAGAAAATTCATAGCACATTTTTTGGCACATAATCTATTCTAAGTAATAGTGATAAAGATGTATATATAAAAATGCATGTTTTTAGTGAGTTCTATTTATTGCATTGATGCAAAGCAGTAAGTTAGCTAACTCCTACCATCAATCTGTATGGCTCAGGTACACACCAGAGCCCTAAAAATCTGGTTCTTTATGTCTTGTAATCCTCTTATATTCAAGGTCTTCAAAAGATTTTATCAAGAAATGAGGCAAACCTGTTCTGCAGTGGGGGGGAGGGGGAGGGGGGAGAGGGGGAGGGGGAGGGAGGCAGAGAAGAAACAGAGAGAGAACAGAGTCAGAGACAGAAAATCTGTGGGAGTCTGTGTATGGGAGTCTGTGTGTGTGAGTGTGGTATGTGTGTATGTGTGGTGTATGACTATGTGTGTGACTGTATTTGTGTGCACGAGCATATGGTTTATGGATATGTGAGTGTGTGCTATATGACTGTGTATATGTGAGTGTGGTGTGTGTGTTTGTGTGTGTATGAGTGTGTGGTGTGTGTGAGTATGTGTGCATGAGTGTATGTCTCCGTGGTGTGAGTGTGTGTGTGTTGCCTCCTGTAGCTGAGAAACTTTATTTCATTGAAGAAATGTGCTAAGATTTATGAAGTCCAGATTATCTCTGACAACCTGTGAGAGGCTGGTGCCTTTCGCCACTTCCACGTGAACTGATATGATAGTCCCAGCAAAGCTCAAACCTTCATTGAAGTTTAAGGCTGGAAGCCCAGAACTCCAGCATCAGAAAAAGAGTCACTAGTGGATCTGACAGGAGATGAGAACCAGAATCAGGCTGGGGAAAGAGAAAGGGGGACCTTGTGGCAGAGCGAGAAGCAAACCCTCTCCTCAAGTGCCTGCCTCGGGGAGCCTGGCGAAGGGAAACTAGCAAAGCTGCTGGTGGCCCAGAGCATCTGTCTAGAGTCAAATGATGGCTGCAGCTCTTGAGCTGCTTTGGTCTTTCTTGCACTTAAGCTATTAAACACAATCCACACCAATGAGATCTGCCCTGTTGGCAAAGCAGAGCTTCCACTTCATGCAGGGGCAGCCAGGCCCTTCTGGCATTATCCAGTATGTCCTTCGGTCCTAGAGCTCTGGTCCTATTAGGTGACTATTCCACGCTATAGATGGATGGATGCCCAGTCTCCACTTAAAATAGACGTTTCTAACAATGCCCAGAAAGAGCATTCCCCTGACATGCTCACCGCCCCTCTTATTGACCTCAAAATCCTCCTCAGGCTTGCTTTAGGCCTTCCCAAGTGTCCTCTGGTTTCTTCTGCCCCAAAGTGAACTTACATTTTACCTCACTGCTATGTGACTTTCATCGTGGAAAAGGCAACTCATTGAATATTTGCACTAAACTAACTTGGCGTCTAGGTACAAAGGACCCCACACGAATGATTGTCCTCTGTTGATGGAGTGTGCTTTGGTAGAACAGTCCAGACATGGTTCAGTTTTTACTTAACCTCGAGCAAATGATCTCCCCACTCTGAGCCTCATCAGTGTTCATCTTCAGATGGCACTGATAATGCCTAGAGTGGGCACTAGTCTGGGGAGGAAGGGGATCACGTCTTTGTTGTCAGCACAGAGCCACCAATAATGAACCCTTCCTTCACTGCCCTCTGCCTGCCTTTACCTGGTAACCAGCCTCCCCGTCCATCTCAACCTTGTGCTTTCTGCCCTTGTCTCAGCTTACCTGAGAGAGGAACTTTGTCCTTATTTGGAAGTTCCTCTTTGCTTCCACCTTCCACCCATGTTCCTTCCTGGTGTCTCCCTCCTCTCCTTTCTCCTCTGGCTTATACTAAGACTACATGTTTCTTTGACCTAAATTTGCTTCCTCAACATAGTTTCTCAACCTGTCTCTTAGTGGAAAGGTCATTATCAAATGTGTTGCCCAAGGTGGCCTGGAACTGTAGCAAGACACAGGTAGCATATATCTACAATATTACAAGAAATGTAGCAGTACCTCACAAAACATCATGTATGAAAGTGGTCCCTTTAATTTAAGAAGAAGCCCCAGTGAGGCCAGAGACATGATAAGGCTTTCCATTTCATTCTATGCCTTGTGAAATGTGTAAATAATTTCTCAAAAATTCTAACTTAGATTCCAAGGATGGTTCACTGCCTTAAATTTCAGGCACCATTTTTATAATACAGCGTTGGAAGTGGCATTTATCTACATCACAGAATTTGTTTAAATTAAAATTTGTTATCATCATCCAACCACACTGTAGAGTTAAAACTAGATGGTGAACTACCAAGATGTCTGAGTAGAAAGTAGCTCGATGTTCACATGTCTTACACTACATCAGTCTTATTAAAAGCATGGCTGGGGCCTCAGTGGCTCAGAGTACTTTGCGCTCTTGCAGAGGACCTGGGTTCATTTCCCAACCATCACATGGCAGCTAACAGCCATCTGTAACTCTAGTTCCAGGGAACTCTGCCGCCCTCTTCTGGCCTCTGCAGGCTCTGCAACATGTGGTGTACATACATACACACAGACAAAACACGCACACACATAAAATAAAAACAAATCTTTAACAAAAGAGAAGTACAGCTCTTTTGTATTTTGAGACTATGTTTCTACTTGTTTTGAACAATATTCCATTTTCTCTTTCTTCTGCCATTATCCTTCTGAACAAGTTCTTATCTAGAGATAACCCACCTGAGTGACTCATTGCTTGGCAGACAATAGCTTACCACTTGGACACATTGTGCACCAAAATATCAACATGTCTCCTCCATATTTGTTAACCTTAAAGACCAGGTCAATTCCATTCCCCATGAGCAACTTTCTAAGCCTGTTCACAGTTGGGCAATATGTTTTCATTCCTCTCAACCACATTGGGATTTCCCATCAAGCCTTGGAGCTAGTTGCCTTGTGACCATACATCCTTATCTTGTTCATTTGTTTCACTTTTTGTCATAGCATATACTTTTCTTCCCCTGTTAGCATGCAGGCTTCAAGCAGGCAGAGGTCATTCCTCTCTCCCACAGCCTGGCATCCCCAACATAGCTCTCAGCATAGTAGGTATTTTACCCACCCTTCTTTCTGTCACTTACCCAAGAATTCTTTCATTTCAGCATTTATTTCTGGCTCGTGCTATAAAATGGAATCACCTTTCCCTCTGCACTGTTGGAAACTCTTCCTCCAGATTTGATTCTAGTTAAAAATAGGCATATTAATTTGTTCCTTCTTCCAGCCATTAATGTTCATTATAACATGGATACCTACTGTGCATAGGTCAGAGAACCAAGGGGTTGCATTAACAATTGCAGAAAACTTGGGAAAGGTGGTACAACACAGTAATAACGAATAGGAGGGTATATAGATAATACATCGCGGCCATAGACAGATATACTATGGTAGACTAATAAGGTAGCTTGATGCCAGAAAATATAAGTATATGAGCAAACTGACAAGATAAAAGACACTGGGGACCTAACGAAAAGCCACTGGATTATGCTTAAATGGGGAAAATGTCTTAGAACAGGTCATTTGGGCTTAGGTCTTCAAGAAAAGGGTGGACCAGAGTCTCAAAGAACCAGACCGGTGCATATTTCTACTTGCTATCATTTCCTACACTAACCAGTAAAACCTGGGTCCTATCTAGGCATGTAGTGACTAGCCACTAGATAAATGAATAACCGATGCTGAAAGGGGGAACAGAAGCCGTGTGGAGACAGTGGCTCATGCAGAAAGCGTGTGTGTTGTGCTCAGGAAACAGCAGGTTTCTTCTTCTGGACAAAGACAAGAAATGATGTGTAAAGTGAAGTAAAGGAAAAAAATCAGGGAATGAAAACATACATCTCTCCCAGGTTTGGGTTTTACCAGATATTAAGACACACCCTTTTGTCCATCCATTCATCTTTTGATACTATAATTATTTATTAACCATGTGGCATGTGCCCAGGCACTGTGCTGAGACCAGAGGATCCGAAAAAAGCACAGTCTCTGCGTTCAAGGATCATGCAGCCGTGAACTAGTAAGTGGTGAGGCATACCTACATCCCTGACCACCATTAGTCCAGAGGATTGCTTTGTCCTGCAGAGAGCAGAAGTTTTAGCTAAAAGGAGCTTTAACATGGACTGTGTCATAATGGCAGAGTCATAATTGCAGATGATTTGAAGGCAGTAAAGAGGATTTAAAACTTAGGGGAAAACGTTTTGCCCAGAGGGTTGTCTGGGATTCTAGAATGGCCAATTAAGCAGCTATAAGGAGGAAAAAAAAGTTTATTTATGGCCATGCATGAGACCAGGTCTGCCGGTCTCCTTAGCTTTGGATCTAAATCATGGGCTAGGAGGGAGAGGAAGACATGCTGACGGGGGCGGGCCTTGGGGTTAGCCATATTATCTTTTCCTTGAACATGTGTCCATGGAGCCAAAGTTGAAAATAGATTTTATTAGAAACCAAAGTCAGAAGATTTTGGATTTGGAGACAAACCTCCAAGGGTCTGATGGTATAGGGACAGCAATTAAAATGCAGACATAAAAGAAAGATAGTGAATGGGGTAAGGGAGGAGGGGTTGCTTTTAATGACAACTTCCTGAGAAAATCTTGGTTATTTGGTCTTTGACCTCTTCCAATTCTAAGATCTCGATCTGATTCAGGGATTTTGACCTCACTTCCGAGTATCTAACTTTTGCCTTTTTTTCTTTGTTTCCCACTCTTTTTATCCTCCAGGATGATGGTCTCCCAGAAAATGAGCATCAGCTGTCAGTAGCTGGCAAGATCAAGAAGCATTTCAACACAGGCCCCAAGCCTAGCAGCACAGCAGCTGGAGTTTCTGTAATAGCAGTAAGCATCTGAAATATCCACCTCTAACTTTTAAAAGCAGCCCTCCCAAGAGATAGGCATTCCCTGGAGATTCCAGAGACAGCATAGTGGGTCATTTCTTTAGACAGTAGTGGAGGGTGAGGGTGTTTCCCTGGGTGCCTCATTATCCAATACCCCCAGGGTATCTAGCAGCATATATTAATTTCATCATTTTTTTAAAAGAAAAAGAAAAAAATCATTTCCCCAAACTGGACTCTATGCCAGTGTAAATTCTTGACTCTCAGTTAAAGCATTCAGGGACCTTTTGCTAGAACCTGGAAGGAAAGGGAAGCTGAGAAGGAGGAAGGAGGAGACGTAGTAGAAGAGAGAGAGAGAGAGAGAGAGAGAGAGAGAGAGAGAGAGAGAGAGACTGGAGCAATATAGACATGTATACCAAACCTAGGTGAAAGCCAAAACAGAACAGAAAGCAAACACTGCTTTTCAGAGAAAGGAAATTACAGAATGCCCAGTGAAGTCACAAAGTTTTGCTCCTTAGAAATTTGTTAGGTTGACAATTTTTATCATTTACCATTTTATTTGATGAGGGTGCCGTGGAATTTTTTTCCTGTTCTACACACACAGGCAAACACTATATGTAATTTGATAGCTTCTCTAACAGAGATTAAATTGGTCTGAGAAATGCTAAAGCCTCAAACTTCCTGGTATCGAATTCTAGAGTGCACATATATCAATGTCTCACATAACTTGAGTTTCTAACAATTTCCTCTTTAGCCAGAGTATGTACGCTTTACCAGCACACTCAGTGTGAGGCCCACTCGGGCTGTTTCCCTTTTCTCAACAGAGAACTTGAGACAGGACGATAGGGAGATCCTGGTAGAGTAGTAGTCACGCTGCGGGCAGCCCTGCTGCTCAGCTCATGCGCAATGTGCACTGGTCAATCCTTTCTATGGGTGTTTTAGTGTTCTGCTTTTCTTCCTGGTTTTGATCTTAACTAGAGTGCCAAAGCTAAGACTCGTGTAAGGGGCCATGTTGGCAGTTATGAAGCAGGTCTCCATTAGTAACTGTCTGATAGGGACTTCCTCACTTTGCAAGAGGCACGGAGATGTGCTTGCTCTTGCTGTTCGAATCTCACAGTTCTCCAGGGACCTTTTTCAGTACGTTGTGGGTGATGACGTGCGAGTAAACTGATGGTTAACCATAGAATGTAAACTCTTTGGGATGTTCCTCAGCAATGCTGAGGTTCACACATTCACGTTGTTCTTTTTGCCTCTCTTTATCTCTTTCCAAAACTCAGTGAGGGAAAAAAAATATCTCCTGTCCTCCATGTTTTCTAGAATGTTCACATTCTTTGTCATCAGCTAACATCCACCAGAAATTTTTATAAGCCCCTATCTCTTGGGGAAACACAGTTAAACCAAAGTTCTATTTTCATAGGTTTGGGTATTCTCAAAGATTTGGCTCCAGTGGTCCACCATTTTGAAACAGGTGGTCAACACCATTGTCCACAAAAAGGAATGTTTCCCTGCTCCTACTTGGAGCTCATGGCTGTTACAGAGAGTGTTTTTCCCACATGGACCATTTTTCCCCCATAATTTCATTTTAATTTGTTTTTGGTTAAGTTTGCCTTAGCTGTTCAGTAATGGTTTGTTTAGTGTTCTGGGGAGTCCTGTAATGACTATGGACAGAAACTTCTGTGTGATTTTCCAGTTAGCAAATGATACATCTTTGAGGGCAAATTCTACTTTAATTAGACACTGATAAATTCTGAAACCAAATATTTATGAATTTTTTAAAACCTCATCAAAATATCTCAATAGAATATCAAGAGTCACTGATACTTTTTCTAAGTATCAGGGCTATACCATTTTGAATGCAATTGTTTGATTTTGTTTTTGTTTGTTTTGCTACCGGTCCTGTACACTATGCTGACCTAGAACTCACTATGTAGCCCCTGCTGGCTTCATTCAAACTTGAAGCAACCTTCCTGTCTCAGTCTCCTGAGTGTGGGTCATTGTGCCCAGCATGAATGCTATTTTGAATACAGAGGTCTCAGTTTTTCACTGACATATTTTCCATGGCAGTCAAACCACAATGAAAATATGGGTTACCGAGTGCCCCCTGTAACTCTGAATTACACTTGAGTTCAGTGAGTCTTTAAAGTGCATTAGGCATTACACAGCACTTCGGCATAATCTTTATGTTAGCCCCTGTCAGTCAGATCTCAAATATGAAAAATATCAATGTCAAAAGAAAGGGACTGCACTAATGCACCTTCTCCAGGATGCTCTTCCCACACCAGCATCTCTGCTTTCTATGAGGACCCCTGGGAAGCTTCACGGCCTGGGGCAGAGCTGGGAATTAGAAGCTTGCCAATATAACTGCCTTGCTTTTAGCTTTTAGAATAACACTGGCAAATTTCATAAACTTGTTTCTGGTCCTAAGTACAAAGACTAAGTATTAGTAGGATTTTTATCACAAGAAAAAGTCCCCTAGCTTTAAATAATATTCCACTCCAAACTACAAAGTATGACGACAAAGCAATAATCTTTTGGGAGACAGGACTTTAGTGGGAGGTAAAATAAATACCTTTTATGAATGGTATAGTCTATAAAGGCCACTTGACAATTTAATAATCTGATTTTATTCCCCCATGATTAGAATGTCTTCAACACGTATAACATGGTGATTATTTCTGTTTGATAAAGTAAAATATAAGTTTCCTTCAAGGAGATTTTTCCCCTGAGCATGTTATGTTCTCGGGAGGCTAGAAATTTATCTTAAATTGTCTTCATCATATACAGTCTTGTTCTTTATAATTATGTGCACTCCTGGAATTTTTTTAAAAATTAGATTGGAGTATCAGTTTGTAGATGTTTTTTTCTTTTTCCTTTTCTGGAAACAAATAGACATGCCTTTGGTCTCTACATGTGATTTGTCTTTCTTTAGTCAGAAATCTACCTGGCACAAAGCAACAACGGTTATAAAAGAGTTTATGACATGCTCTCTTTCTTGAGAGACAGAAGAACAAAGGGACATGTGGGCTCGTGAGCACCCTCTGTTCACAAGTATCATTTTGTAAACACACAAGAAAGCATGATCTGAAACACATGATCTTGTTTGTGTTGTCCCCTTTGCTGCCCTCCTTCTCATTCCAAACATTACTGAGACCAAAAAAAGCCCAGATGATGACTTCACACGAAGGCTCCACAAGGGTCCCCAGTTGGCTGGGAGAGTAATTATCAACTGGAGCTCTTGGGGGGTCATCGGGCTGTTCTGAAAGAAGGGAGGTTGATTGAGCATTCTTGAGTCAGGCAGTGTGGTCAGTGGGGCATCTGAGGCTGTCGGTGAAACTGAGATATTCTGCCTCTGATCAGGATTCCATTGTCCTGCCAGCTTTCATAGCAGTTGGACAAGTTGTGTGTGTGTGAGAGAGAAACAGAATAGAGAAGAGGAAACAAAAGGTTATTAAAATACAGTTTATAGACATGAAGTGGAATTGGAGATGACATTTTAACGGTGGACTCTCTGAGAGCTGAGAGGGGGAGGGAGGCATGATTAGGTTTGTGCAGATTGATGAAAAACCCATGACTAAGATGCCACTTCCAATTGTTTTCCCCATTTAATGCTGTTTATTGTTTTAGTTGATAATTTTCCTAATGTTTTAACATTGTCCTTTTGAATTTGCTCATGCAAATAGAGCATTTCAGTCTAATTGAACAAATCCATACTAATCAGCTAATAATTGTGGTACTGGAGAGCTTGGTTCAATAGCCCTTGCGCCCTGCTCTATGGCAGTCTGCCTGTAGATGGCACTAGAGAACTAGTAACTTGTCGCCCTCTCTGTGGCCAAACAACCACCTTCCACAGAGCAAGTGTGCTACAATTTTTTTCTTAAAAAAAAAAAGAGAAAGGAAAGAAAAGAAAAAAAATAATACATTTTTTGAAGATTAAAACCTCATGTTGCTTTCTCCGAACACTAGTCTAGCCTAGTTTCCAATCAGGACACCAAATCTCAGAGTGGTTTCTAGTTTAAATGCCTAGTACCCTAGCACGTATTTTAAATACTGTTTGTGCATTAAAAGTAGAATCTGTGAAATCAGTGAGACACTTGAAAGAACTCCGGAATCTCTCTTCCAAAGCAAGGTGCATCCTGAGTGGGCAGAACAGGACTCAGGCAAGCAGCAGGACTTGGAGATTGAGGCTTTTATTCTTAGGTAGCCAAAAGCTAACATCTTATTCCAGAATGGAAAGTAGTGGGAACTTACCATGTGTTGTATTTGCTGTGTCTTTTGTTAACCTTAAGCACTTAACTGTACATATGTGCTTTTAATGTACACAGAAAACATTTCTCTTTTTTTCCCGGAGAAACTATACTATCTCATCTCTTTAGTTCAGGAATAATATATATATATAAAGATCAACTCTTTCTTAAATCTAAATGCTTATGATTTTACCCTTTTCAAGCCTTGTTCCTTTCCTCTTATAAAGCTGACAGTTTAAGCCTACTGGATATTATTGGGGAGGGTGTCAAATCTGTCTATTCATGGTGACTAAAACTGATTTCAGTTTAACTGTATATTTTCTACTGTTATAACAGAAGAAGAGGTGTTTTTATATCTTTTGAAATTGAGGACATGGTTAAATGTATATTCAAAATCCTGTTTGACAGACAAATCTACCTTAACAAATTGGCATCCAGGATACTCGTAAGGGATTTGTATTTCTTTATTTTTATTTTATTTTCAATGTGCAGATTATGTTATTAGCTAGCCGCTCTGCAGAAAGGGCCTCATCACTATGTGTACATACGTACGTAGTTAATGACGAGCGTGGACTGGAGTCTTAATTCGTGAGCACAATGTCGATCCACTGAGTTGCCCCATTTCTCTCTGCTCAGCTGGACCACGGGTTTACCATCAAGAGATCAGGGTCTTTGGACTACTACCAACAACCAGGAATGTATTGGATAAGGTATGAGATGGTGCAGCTCAACAGTCAGTGTTTCCATGGCAACGTGCTGGCAGTCTCCATTTACCAGTTCCTTCAGTGGATAAACATGTTTTTGATTTGTTACCCAGTCCATATGCTGCTTTATCGGTTTCATTTTAATCTTGATTGAGATGCCACACCCCCTCATTCCTTTTTTTCACCCATTCTTCACACTGACATTTGCCAGCTTTCTTTCCATTGCACATGCTCAGTATCGATTCCCCCTTACGGTTAAAAAGACAGTATATTCCGTGCTGATGCCAAAGCCTTTGCCTGTTGTTGCTGATTGCAGCAACGATGTTTCCAGTGCTCTCTTGCCCTGTAATAAATGGAATTACGGTAGCACTTTAGTGTGTATTCTATAGAAGTATATACTGTCATTTTAAAGTTACCCAGCCCAGCCTTAACCTTCTCAGATGATGAGACAATGCATTTACACCTTAGCAGTAGAAACGCCTCCCAGTACAGCGGGCTACAGAATGCATTGTGTGTGTTGGTAAGCTTGTGTTTTCAAGTTCTCCACCTCTGCGTTTTGTTTCTGTTTTACCGTTTCCTTCCCCCTCTCTCTCCCCAAGCTCCCTCAATGTACTGGCTCCTGCATGAATTTTCTTTCTGAATTTTGTAATTGTCAGATTCTTTAGTTGGCTTATCTGCTTGAGCAAGGGGGTCTATGGGAAGTGTGATTTGTTTAACCAGCTTATGAATTCTGTCCCCTCGTTTCCCATTCCAGTCAATGGCGCTGGCATCTCCTGCCAGGGGCATTGTGTGTGTATCTCTCTAGAGTTACCCACAAGCAAGATGGCTTGCAATGGTTTGAGAAATGAACTCTGAGAAGTTCTAGGGAACTTCTCTTCACCTTAATGTCTCCAAAATGATCTCCAGGTAAAAGTTCCATGATGTAACACTCGCCAAGAAAAAGCCCCCAGCTTTGGCATTTGTTTTCAAATAATAGAGTCTGTTGGTTGGCACAGCACAGTGTCTGCCTGACACCGTCTCAAGGATCAGACTGCCAAGTTTTACCAAAAAAAAAAATGTTCATGTGTGCATAGATACAATATACTTAATATATATATAAATATACATATATACATATATACATACATACATACATACATATAAATTTCCCCTTTGATCATTGCTCCTAATTATTTTTTATAATTAGGATCTAAAACAAAGAAAAAACAACACCCAGACAAATAAACAAAATGTAGTAGTAAGGTCATTTCTAGGTCTGCTTGTAATAGGAAAACACCCAGGCTCAGTAAGAGGATTTTCCAGAAAAGGCTCTTTGTGCCTTCAGGATTGGTCCGAGGGAAGGGATCGCACATCTAGTGTCTCATTTACCTAAGCAAATTAGCTCTGGGGGAGGGGGAGTTAATTATGATTTGCCTGCACACAGACCCATCCTTAACCTTCTCAAAAGATGAGACAATGCATTTACACTTTGACTTTCCAACATTGAAGAGAATGTAGAAGAGTAGATTTCACATGCTGCACACACTCCTAAAATGCACAGAACATTTCCAGCACCCTTCCAGGCCCTTTCCAGAGCATGACTTTGTCCCAGGGGTAAAGGCTAAGCAGAAGTCTACCTGTGGTAATTAGTCTTGCTCCCTTTCATACTTTATGCAAATTGAGCTGTAGAATGTTGCAGCCTTTCTTATCCTATGTGTCCTGTCCTGGGGCAGATCAGCCAGACGTCTACATGTAGAATTGATAGATGCTGAAAAACAGGCCTCAAGTGTGTCTAATTACATCTGTACGTATTTGTGCTTTCTTTTAAAGCACCAGTAAATTCATCTAATTTCAGAAAAAAGGAGTACTCTGAGAAATTACAAAACTTATAAAATTAAGGGTAGAAGCAAAGTATCAAGTAAACACAATAATTAATACATGTGACCCAGTATTAAAAAGACTAACTGCAACCCTAGTGACAGTCCCCATCGCCAGACAAAATGACACATCCCTGAGTAACGGGCAGGAGCAGATGGGAGATAATCTCTTTCTTCTTCCACACATAAACTGCTCTGCTTTCCAGCTGGGGGCAGTAACAACAATGTTTATAGTTACTGCTGCACTAAACAGCGTACACAGTATGTAAAGCTAAACTGGAAACATGACACTAAAATCTCATTGCCGTCTATGCTTAATTAGGAAGTTTTATAATGCCATTTAGCCCCAGAATGAACACGCTCTCCTTGCTGATCACGAATGCTTCCCTTTTATCTCCATGGAAGTGGGAGCATTCATTTACCCACAGTGGCAGGCCAACTCTTCAATATAAACAATCATTGCTTGCAAAGGACCCCAGTCCTGGTCCTTGTGTTTGTAAGTGCTTGTGGCTATTCATACTGTTCTGGGCAGAGCACTTCTGAGTCCCAGTTGCACTTACAAAGTAGCTCACATGAGGGTGTCAGCTGCTAACACTGGCTCCTTGCAGTGCCCCAAATCAGTGAGAACCTCTTAATTGACATTTTAGCAATCATGGAGACATGATGGGGGTCCATTTTCCTTTCTCTCTTTCATGCCCCTGACTCTCTCAGCAACTCTGCTTTCTACCTACATTCAGAGCTGCATTTTCTGACTGGCCCATTTATCCAGGAGGCCTTACCACCCAAAGCCCAAGCTCACAAGCTCACTGGGCTATTCCACATCCCTCCTGTCCCCCAGCCCTGAAACATTGCTTCTCCCTGATACAAGTCACAAGAAAACACATCCTGCTCTAGGCCTCCCTCCTCCCTGCCAAAGTGGGCCTAGTCCCATTGTATCTACCTTGCTCAAGCACAGATGTCCCTGCAGCCAGTACCATAGCCGAGAACACGCAGAAGAGATTTCTACGTCTGAAGTATATGCAGACAACCAGGACCATGGCCAAAATGAAGTAACTTGGTTAAATAAAAACACAACAAATAAATAGACAAACAAACAAACAAACAAACAGGACACCAGCTTTTGGAAAATGCAAAATAGGATGAAGTGAGGAGGTAAAATAGGACAAAACCGTGGTTGGGTTCCCAGACATGACATGACTAAAATGTGCATATTGGTTTCAGCCCCACTCCTGAAACAGTGAGTAATGAGGCAGAGCCCTGGCAGCCAGGCGCTGGCTTTGGGAGGCTATTAAATGCTGTCATGCTTGGCTGTTAAAAGGAACAGGGTCTATTAAATGTATCTTGCTGGGTGCAGGTTTGAAAGAGGTGTCCCTATGGATGCCAGATAGCATTCTCAAAACACTGTGAGCACAGCAGACCTCTGCTCAAGGAGGCCTGCTTGATGGCCAGTTGCCTTGGCCTGGTTATTCTGAGTGCCAAAGGCTGCCAGAGGCAAGCAGATAGCCCTGTAACAGCATGGGATTGGTTGCTTCTTCTAGCTCCCACCCCAACCCCTGGCTTCTTCTGTAACAGAGGAGTAAGTTTAAAGCATCCAGCAAGTCATAGACCAGTTTCAAGACCAATCGAACTTCGATGACAAGAAAGCTTCCATAGAACAGTGAGCACTGGATCCAGCAGTTATAGCTTAATAACCCCTGAGTGATAGCTCAGGCCAGGTTCAGACACCCCAGAGCACTCGGTAGCTATTGCTGTGGCAAGAAAGTCAGGAATAGCTAGCTGGGTGTGGTAGTACATGTCTGTGATCCCAGCATGTGGGAGGCAGAGGCAGGTGGATCGCTCTGAGTTTGAGGCTAGTTTGGTCTATGTAGCAAAATCCAACAAGCCAGGACTATACAGTAAATCTTGCCTCAAGAAAAAAAATTAAGTTAAAAAGTAAATAAATACAGTACTAAAGAGCCACTTGGGCCATGGTTCCCCAAACCACGCAGATAGCTGTTTAGTTCTGAATTTGTTTCGTCTGATTTATTTTCAGAAGTCTCTTCTGAGAGAATTTCATATATATATATATGTCTTTGGGTAACTTCAACTTGTATCTAGAAATGAGAGAAAACCATTGAGCCTAAGTCCTCTCCCCAGTGGTATGAATTGAAGAGAGAGTCTATTCCTTTCCCTGGGGTTTCTGACAATTCAGTATCTACTATATACTCTTTGGTATCTATTTTTACTTCACCATCCCTCTTTTTAACTTAAAAGTAAAAAAAACAAAAACAAAAAAAGCCTCAGTGAAGTTTAAAATGCTGTCCTTGAGGATAGGATTTGCACGCTGCAACAAATGAGTGGAATCTAGCCTTCTTCCTGTTTTATTTTTATTAAGTTTTATTAGAATACAGCTATATCCACTCATCAACATGTTGTCTGTGGCTGCTTATGTCCTACTGTGAAAAGCTGTGTCAGAGAACCATGATGTGAAACACAAAGCTTGCCTGTTTGGCCTGTTGCAAACCCTTGTGTTTAAGGGTAAAGGCTAGTTCTAGATTTAGAGTACCATCTGTTAAAAATGCAAATTTCATGAGAATAGGATGGGACTCACTTAAAACGGTATCTTTGCCAAAGTGAAAAATGAATAGTTGAACTCAAAAGAAGAAATTTTGAGGTTGAATCTGTTTTTGAAAAGGAAGAGTTGGAGTAACCAGACAGCATCTAAGATATTCTGTAGGTTTTTCATTTTTAACAACCCAGGAGTAAATAAGCTAAAATTGTACTTGCAATAAAACCACCTAGCCCCTGACACACCTGTGAGACTTAGTTTATGTTTTTAAGTTTTTACAGATTTGCTTAGGATCAACCCTGCCTGGGTGATTAGCTCACTAGTGTGGTGAGGTGCAGCCACGAGGCAGTCCAGTTTCTCTTCCATCAGGAAACCAGGGGCTGCAGAGCAGATGAAGAAAGTAAATTCAGCCCTCTGGAAGCCTGAGACAAACACCCTGCAAGGGCTACCTCTGTAACCTCTTCTGAGGCTAGGAAGGTGACAGTGCCAGGCTGATTGAGACTCTTTTAAGCACCTAATCTAAAAATCTTGTGTCTGATCAAGATAGCTGGCATAGAAGCACACAGTCAGCCTTCCCAGGAAAACAGGAATAATGTCTCAGA